CTCGGCTAACTGCTGGGCCATGACATTATTGCCCGGTCCGACCTCGTCCACTGTGGACCTCTTCCCTCTGATGCTTTTCTGAGACGAATTGACACTCATCGTCTCGTAGATCACAATCATCTCTTCAGCTGTTTTGGCCCCAATATCCCCTCCGACTGCGTTATCCACCATAAACTGCAGGTTCTGGTGGAGGGAGTCGTAGAAACAATTTGCTAAGAGCCCTGGAGCGAGGTTGTGATGTGGGCACTACCGTTGAAGGTCCTTGAATCTTTATCAGGCCTCATGAAGAGGCTCGTTTGGCTGTTGAGCAAAAGAGACTATCTAGGACCGGATGTCTTGGGTCTTCTGATGGGAATAATACTTCCCGACAAATTTCGAGTAGACTTCGGCCCAAGTTGTGAGAGAATCCGGTGTGAGGGTCATGAGCCAGGCCTTGGCTCGGTCCTTCAGAGTCTCCGGGAAGCACCGCATCTTTAGCTGGTCCTCGATCAGCCAGTGTAGAGGGAACGACTGGAGGACATTGTAAAACTCCCGGAGGAAGTGGAGTGGATCCTCATTTGGAAGACCATGGAACAACGGTAGCTAGTTGTAATGGATCGTTTTAAGCTCGTAGTTCCGAGCTTCTTGTGGCAACCAGATGCATGAAGTGATTGGAACCGATCATGGGTTGGGCCAAGTCTCGGAGGATGTTGCGAGGCGGTTGTTGTTCGGCCATGTCTGAGTTACTTCCCTCGGATGATTCCGGAGAATGCTCGCCTTCTTTGTGTGATTCGAGAGTAAGCTCGTCTTCGGCTCTCGTTGAAAGGTTTGTTGATTGGAGATAGTTTACGTCCACTCCTGGTACGCATACACTCAGACAACAAACAGGTTACGAGCACCAATAATAGATGAATGAAAATAAAAGAAAAAAAAGAAACATCAAAAACAAGAAAAATACAAAATCAAAGAGAAACACAAAAAATAAGATGAATAAGCGCTCAAAATATGTCCTAAACCCTCCCCGGCAACGGCGCCATTTTGTTGTAGTAATTTTTACCGGAGTAGAATCGAAAGATTCAAACACCCGGTCGTGTCTCAAGGAAGGTTGGCCGGACTAATTTGCACTATTATTCAATCACACGAAAAGATAAAACAAGTCCTAAACACTCTAATTCAATTGGTAGGTTTTGATTATCAATTACGAGATTTACTACGAATGATTCTCAAACAAGACAATTTCGAACTCACAGCTTCAAATAAGATTCAAATAATTGCAAATGGACTAGGGTGTCGGGGACAATCGTTTTCGGTTCTCAATACATTTAACGGGCAATCAACTACTCGACTAAGGGATTCGAAACACTACTCATCAGAGGTTTATTATCAATAACTCATGTGATATGGGAAATTATATAGCGGCACGATAATGCCAGGCGTACTTAATAAAAGTACAAATACCTGGATCGTCTGCAATTCGAATAAGATCGTGACTTATGACTAAGAAGGCCACAGAAATGTAGGAGGTTCTCATCCTCGAGTAGAGTCTTCGACGCAACGGGCTTAGTGTTCCACACAGCGATCCGTTGGTCGAAGAGAGCACTCTGATAAGGTGCCACATTATCGCGTTTGAGTTCCTTGAGCCATGGAGTTGGCTCCCAAGGATAGGCAGGGCTAGGTTCGACAAAGGCGAACTTATCCTTCCACCTAGGAACATTTGTAGGAGTGTCGGAGATGAAGTGAACATCGGCGCGACTTTTGAGGTAGAGCCCTTGAGTGTGTTTCGAAGGGACATAGCAACGGTGAAAGAAAAACAATGACGAAAAACGCAACAAAAGTGGAACAAACAGTAGGGAAGACGAATTGACCGGGGCAATTTAGACCTTTCAGGTCAACCGACCGGGGCATTTCGGGTACTTCAAGTAAGTTCCTCCTATATAAAGGAGGTGAGGTAACCCTAAACCCTAACTTCCATTCATTCCACACTTTCCTCTATAGCTGCTGCTGCTCTCAGAGAGCAACCTCTCTTCATCTCTTTCACGTACTGACTTGAGCGTCGGAGGATCTAAGCCGGAAACACCTCCGGCGTTGAGTTCTTGCACGTGTTGTCGCGGTCTAGCAATGGTTCAAAGGCGATTCAAGCAAATCTGAACTCAAAACCACCGATCCCTCCAGATCTGAGAGTAGACCCATCAACACCAAACGCAAGGGACAACATACCCCTACAACAAATATGACAAGCACTACTCCAAACGAAAAATAAGTCAACACAAATAAATAAAAGACGAGAAAGAAAAAAAACACGAAAACAGATAACGGAATTCGAAAAATATTGCCTACGTCTCCGGGCACCGCCAACTGCAACGCCGAATTTACTAAACTCACCAACAAATACAACTTGGGTTAAATAGCCCATAAATTATGACTTTCTTAATTAAGGATTTCCTTCTTAGAGAGAAGATAATAGAATAAGGTGCAATTGTAATCCAAAGACAATAGACCTATTTATACTAACAACAAATTAATCAAAAACTAACAATATATCCTCAATGAAATGCACCATTGTCTAATCAATAAGTAAGAGTAAGTAGGAATAAACTTAATTAGACGAATTGAAGTAATAAGTTATGGTTAAATAGATAAACTAATAAGTAATACCTAATACTGTTAGGAAAATGCTAGTTTATGTAAATGTTGACATAAGTAATGTACAGGCATGATGATTGCTGATTTTAAATATAATAATGGCATGATTGGTATGATGGGATAGAATTTCGTAGAAATAGAATGAGTTGAAGAATGAAATGATTATGGAAATGGAATGAAACATGTTTTGTCATTGATGCGTTTGGTATGCATAAGAATAAGACTTGAATGTGATGACATTATTATTTTTTATTATAAAAATAAATAAAAGCTTTTTTAAAAAATAATATACTTTTAATAAATTATATATAAATGCTTTTTTAATAATATATAAAAATAAATTAATATATTTTTAATAATATATAAAAATAAAATAATATATTATTTAATAATATAAATATTAATATATTTTTAATAATATATAAAAATAAAATAATATATTTTTAAATTATATATAGAAAGTAATATATTCTTAAAAGTAATATATTTTTAATATATAAAAAACATATTTTTAATAATATTTAAAAATAAAAAGTAATATATTTTTAATAATATATATTTTATTTTTTAATTAAACAGTAAATAAAAGTAAGTTTTCAATTTTTTATTTGAATTTTATTTTTTAAAATAATATATTTTTAATAATATTTAAAAAGAAAAAGTAATATAATATTAATAATATATTTTTTTTTAATACTTTTCAATAATATATTTTTAATAATATATTTTTAAAAGTAATATATTTTTAATATATAAAAAATAATATATTTTTAATAATATATAAAAATAAAATAATATATTTTTAAATTATATATAAATACTTTTTTTAGTTTTATTTTTATATAAGTATTTA